AAAAAAATCTGTGTAATTGTATTCAACCCCCCCTTCTACAATTACTTTCTGTTTATTGCCTTACCCTTCGGGACTAACAAACTTGATATCTTTATAATATTATTATGAAATTGATGTTTTTTAGTTATCTGAGTGTTTGAATATTTGTTTATTCCAGTATGTTATGTTTTTTTTAATTAACATGGACATCCAACCCACTATGTGAGCCGACTAATCCCAGGACGACCACCTACTTTGTAAATAGTCCGGAGTCACCGCATTTAAACCTCCGTGACCACAAGGGGATTTTAATTTAATATAGTTAATATCCTTATATAAGAAAAAAGTGCATCTTATAAATTGGAGTAAAAAATCACTGATTAAAAATAAAAAATACACCTTTAAGTTTGATGCATATACAATCATAGAATTATATGATAAAATCCATTTCAAGACCCTTAATCCTTAACTTTTGTTTCACCTTATTCCCTTCTATATAAAACTATATATGATTATACGTTTCGACCAATTACATCCCTGTTTGTAACCAAAAACAAAGCCCAATATCTACTAATACGAGAATCGTTCAAACTGTACTGATTGGATGTCATGTCGACCCTTTTTCCGCCCGTATGCTTTTCAACTGAAATCCAGACAAAAAGATGAAGTTGAATATCGTATAATCTTCTTTAATTACCATGAATACTAAAGAGGTGTTTGGTTAAAGGTATTGAACAATAATTAATGGAAATAAAAATAAACGAAATTGTTTTGTATTATCTATATTATGTTATAAAACATTTGATAAAAACTCTTAAAAACAATTTTTCATGCATAAAGTACTGTTTATTTATGTATATTACTTAAAAATCAAGATTACTAGTATAAAGTGTATGGGTACATCAAGCTTTATGTTTAAATTCGTGTAACCAACTGCAGATAAACATAATCAAATACATAATAAGATAATCATCGAGTTATAACAGAATACTTAATTATTATCTTAAAAATTTATTTTATTAACCCAAAAATACTTAGTTCGTTATTAAACTTCAATTAAATTATAATAAAAAATCAAATTAAAACAAATTACACAAAAACGAACTTTTAAATAGTTAATTTGATACTAATATCGCTTATTTTTTCAAAATTTTATAATTTTTTTAAATTTATATTTCATTCCAAAATAAAAACATTTTTTTTTCTCAAAACCACATAGAATCACATTATATCATTAATACACCCAAAATATAAAATAAAATATTAAAATCAAAATATATCTCATTACATTACACGAGTACAACTTTTAATATAACATAATGAGCTCATTCTTCCATAATTATTAGTTTAAAAAAATATATTATATCAATTATTATTTATTTTCCTTGGCCTAATATTGCCAAAAAAAATACATAAAATAAAATGGATATATAAAATAAAATGGATACATGAAGGTAGCATGTGAAACCAAATAGGTAGCATCTACATAGACATGACATCAAATAATAGATGTTCAACACTATCAAACAAGTAGGAAGAATAGGAAGGTGTTTGTTGTCAATTTTATATTTTAATTATTTTAATATTTAATATTAATAAATAATATATAAACATTTTTTTTACTTCAATAATGGACAAAGTGAGTGAATTAAATATTAGTGTAGTGTGTCTTACTCATCAATTTCCCCTTTTTTTTTTTTTTATAAAATACATTTTTAATAGCAATATAATAAATGTTGCTCTAATTTTTAAGGTAAAATTGGGAAAAATGATTGACTGTGGGAATTTGCATTTTGGGTATTAAAATGTATTTTAAATATTTAATTTTTTAATTAAGTACTTTTTTGTTTTATAAATAAATAATTATTTTAAAAAATAATTTAATTTTCATTCTATCTAATTATGAGATGGAGAGAATTTATCTCTCTATAATTAAAGATAAAATCATTTCTTATTAATTAAAATATATAATAATTATATATTTCTAAAATTTTACGTCTTCTTTATTATACACATCTATTTTTAAAAGGGAAAAAATATACTTAAAGGGTAAAAGTATAATTAAATGGTACAAAAGGAATGATGGCAACGTTTGCGGGCCGGATAAAAAACAAAATAACTCGAATGTGTTAAAAGAAAAAGGAAAGTGGCTGTTTGGTAGGGTGATTAAAACCCCGATAAATCCAAGTCAATCCAATATGAAATAATTCAATTCAAAGTAATCTGATGTCTAATCGAGTTATAAAAATTGTAAAATCATAGATATTTGGTTGATATTGAGTTATTATTATTTAAACCCAATCCAAACCGATGAATCCGATCAATCCAACCCGAAGCAATCCGATGTCTAATCGAGTTGTAAAAATTGTCAAACCGTATGTATTGGGTTGATATTGGGTTACTATTATTTGAACTCAACCCAACTCGATAAATCCGATATCCTTTTATTTCTTGGATTTAATATGATTGTTGAATTTATATTAATATATACATTAGACAATTACACTTATCATATATAATTTTCATATACACATATTTTCAATCTATTTACATCTTTATATAACTCATTCATATATATATGTTCTGAACATATATATGTAAATTAAGAAAATTAATTGAATGTGATATACGTAAAAAATATGGATAAGTTGTATCAAATGGTTGACGATTAAAAAGAAACTATGAGTAGAAAAATAACATATTCAAGGTTAGAATAATATTCCAATGTACCAAAGTATCAACCCGACCAACCCATACATGTTGGGTTGCACTTTGTTTTGAGTTGGGTTGAGTTCAGATTTTTCAAACCACAAACATTGGGTTGGGTTGTTCAAATGTCTTCAACCTAACCATGAACACCCCTACTGTTTTGTTCATGTTAGAGAATGGAAATGACTTTTCATTCCCGTTGTTTAACTTGGAATGAGAATTTATTTATTATATTATATAAAATCGAATAATTTTTTTATTATAATTTCTATTAATTATTAATTAATATTTTTAACCAAACACCTCCCTAAAATGCGATTTGGAATTCTTGTGGGGATGCCTAACATGGATGCATTCACAATCTTTACTAATTTGCCCAAACAACTTTCAACAAAACAGATTTGTAATTGCTTATAAATGGAAATGGAATTCTTTTTTCATATAAAAAACATTGTCATTTATATATGTTATCTTAACAATTATTTGGCATATTTTATTTGGTAATAAAAATACTCATAAAAATGAAAATGGTATTTATTAAAGAGTTTTTAACAACTTTTTATTTTTATATAGTATAGATAATTATTTATAAGTATCTAAAATCTTTATAAAAACATAAATAACTTTTGCTATAAATTAAAATCAAATAATATCAAAACATATGTAATTACAATAATGGACTGATGGTTGGTTTTGAATTATGAAATTTAAAAACGTTATTAGCATGTATAACGATAAAGTCACAGGAGTTTTGATGATTTAGAAAAAAGTCAAAGTTATGAAGAGTTAAGCCGGTTATTATTAAAAAAATGTGAATATCCACAAAATATAGAGATAATAGTTACGGCGTTACATTTAGATTATAAAGATTTTATTTGATATATTTTGAAGCTAAAATTATATATTTGTTGACAATCGACATAAATTCTTGATACATCTTTTTCATGACAATGTGATATATCACCAATTAATCATTTCCGACGTCTAGCTCAGTTGATTAAAGGGCGAGTGAGACGATTTTGTTTAAATACAAAACAAGTATCGGGTTTGATTCTGAGTCCAGAACACCCTGCTAGCCTCAACCATTGAACGAGACAAAGAAATACTGGCATACTTAAAGCAGGTTCCGTATAAGACCGATTATGATTACTTGAAATCAAACTTTTTCCCCAAATTCCGTATTTGTTTCGAGGAAAAACATTTAAGTAATAGAAAATTGACTGAATGACCATTCTTTTTCTCATCAATTGGTCTTCTAATTATTTTTATTTCGATTTTACCTAAATGTCACCATCTCTAGTTAGTTTTAGGGGGGTAAGGATGAACTACCGTATCCCACCCGTGTTCTAGTTAGTTTCACATAAGGACACATCAATATAGGATAAATGTATTATGTTATGTCATGTCCCACCCTGTTTAACGTACCAAATACAGCTTAAAAAACAAAAAAAATTACAGTTAAAATTTCCCTTTTAACTAATTTAACATTTGTAGCTTTACGAGGAACAGAGCGTACAGCAAAGATATATACACGTACCACCCCCACCCACCTTTTCACCGTCGGGCTTCTTGTCTAAAAAAACAGAATTGCCACTCTCTCTCTCTCTCTCTCTCTCTGCATTTCTAGCTTGAAACCCACACCTTTTGAACACCACAATCCGTCATAATTAAGTCACTATCTCAGAAATCTGGCTACAACCATGGCTCTTTTTGCACTTTCCATGGTGGTTCTCTCGGCCATGGCTGGCTATTCAAGTAAGATCCCTTTGTTTTCTTGCCTTTTCCTCAAAAAGGGTTTTTCATTTTAGGTTTGTTCTCAAATGGGTTTCTCTCAGATTCCTTTTTCGACCTTTCAATCGACATCTTTTTATGTGGGGTTTTCAACAGGTGCAGATTATTGTGTATGCAACTCTGGATTAAGTGATGCAGTTCTTCAAAAAAACATAGATTATGCTTGTGGAAATGGTGCAGATTGTACTCAAATCCTTCAAAATGGTGCTTGTTACAACCCTAATACAGTCAAAGATCACTGCAATTATGCTGTCAATAGCTATTATCAAAGGAAAAGCCAAGGTCCAGGGACATGTGTGTTCTCAAACACAGCCAGCACTACCCCAACAGCCCCACCTGGCAAGTCTTTCTTGATCTTAAATCCATTTTCTGGAAGAAAAACATGAACCAAGAATTGTAACCCAAAAAGTCCCCAAAATAATAACACCAAATCCACAGAAAACCATGCAATAAGGACTTGTACCTTATGTAGTAATGGAAATTTTACACCAACTTCACACTCAAAAGTTCCCTTTCTGGGCTAATCTTTTTTCTCAGAGCAATGATCTCAAAATCAAGAGAGATATTCTATATTCTATAATGACTTGTACATTGTGCAATGAATGTTGTACATTGTAGTCTTGTCAATTTCAGAACAATGGGGCTAGCCTTTTTGTTTTTGATCCATCTTCTTTCTCTAGCCTTATTGTTGTTCTTTCTTGTTGATTTACAGGTGCAACTTCTGCTTGTTATGCTGGGAATCCAAGGTGTGTTTTCTAACCCTCCACCTTCATTATTTACCTTCCATTTTTACCATCTTTTCCATTTTTACCATCTTCATAAATAGATCTTGCCCTTTTTTTACCATTTTTATATTGAATTTCTTAATTTCTCATCATTTTTGGATTTAAAGTTTTATGGGTATGTTTCTTTATGCAATATACATAAAGAAAGATCTCAATTTTACTGTTTTTGTGTGTTTAAATTTGTTTTTTTCTCAACTAAAAAGGTTAAAGAAATAAAGAGAGGATACTTTTTGGTTGATCTAAAGATTTATTCGTAGAAGGGTGTGATTTCAGATTCCAAGAAGCTCATCTTTCTTGGTGTGGCACATCTTTCCAGAGGAGAAATTCCAAAATTCAGAGCAATGTACAAGTTTCTAGGCATAATGCACAAGTGACTAGAGCATCATTGTTTTGGTTTTGGAACTTTTAGCTCTGGAAAGGAATCACCTTTTTTTTTGTTTGGTGTCTGTGGTTGAAGAGGGCTTCTCACTTGACTTGAAAGTTTCACAATTATTTAGAGCTAGAATGCCAAATTATGCATTAAAAACTGTATTATGCACTAAAGCTGGCCTTCAATAATGATTTGGTAGATCCAGCATGGTAAATTAGGTACTTTTTATCCACTCCTTTATGAGGTGTCAAGATGTTGATATCTCATATGTTTGTTTGTTCCTATTTTTTGATAATATACCAAGCAAAGGTCATGTTAGGTCACATTGTCCTTTCAAATATCATATATACATACATATATATATATATATACATACATATATATATATACATACATATATATACATATACATACAGGAAACAATGATTATATTAGGAAACTATACAGACCAATAATCAATGATTATATTAGAAAACAATAGAGATATTTATAAACAATTATCATGATTCATTATATATATATATATATATATATATATATATATATGAAAGATGATAAGGTTCATTCATTATGATCATGGCTTTAGATTAGAAAACAAAATGAAGTCATATATTTATCAGACTAGAACGACAACTAAGATTGGTTTGTATGGCTTGTTAGAATTGGATGATTTGTGAATGAAACATGCCCTATATATATATAGAGGGTAACCGTCGGTTTCTAGGTGGATTTGTGTGCACATTAGCTCTGAAGATAAGAGCCAGAAAAATTCAATGGGCCCTAAAGATAACAGCCAGGAAAATCCTATGGGCCCTAAAGATAACGGTCTGGAAAATCCCATGGACCCGACCCTAAAGATGACAAGCATGAAAATCGACTCAAGGCCTGACCTTTGTTTGTCGATTGAGCTGGCCCATTTCATTTCGTATATTCGAGTATTGTCAAGTACAGATAATAGCGAATATGAATTAATGGGCAGGAAAGAAAATCCATCTTTAACTTTTTGGTCAAATGGGCCCCAGCTAAAATAATTACAACTGCTAAAATGATACTTTATTAGGGAGTACTAAAAAGATAAGAAGTATCATTTTTACCCTAATAGGAAATAGTAGAAAAGAAAATTCAACTTTGACTTTTGTGGTCAAAGGATCCTTTTTTAATGTCCCATCTTAGTCTAAATGTTCTAATCAAACGTGAGACAACTAGTTTTTTGTTATATCCTATTTTGCTCCGCGTACCAGACACACGTATCCTAAGTTTGTGTAGTTGGAGTAGGATAATTCATTATTCGCAGCCTTATGGTAAAACTTTCTATTTTTAGAAATTTGCCATTTCTGATTTCTCCTTGTGATTCTTGATTTCTGCAGCTCTTCAACCCCAACAACCTCATCACCACCTGGGACTGGGACCGGAACCCCTGGGACTGGGACTGGGACCGGGACCGGAACCCCTGGGACTGGGACTGGAACCGGAACCGGAACTAGAACCCCTGGGACCGGGACTGGAACTGGAACTGGAACTGGAACCGGAACTGGCATGGGCACAGGGACAGGGATGAACCCATCATTTGGACTTGGGCCGTCAGGAACAAGTGGTAGCACCGATACCAGTGATGGTGCGTCTGCCAACTCATTGATCGCTTTACTGACTCTTATGGTTCCAGGGTTGATCTTGTGGTTAAGGTTGATATAATGGGTTTGTCTTGTTATGATGTGTGGTGGGGATGGATCCTGTTGTAATTTACACGGTGGGTGGTCGGGTGGGGTGGGTAGTAGGGAATCGATGGATCGATGAATATGGGCAATTTTTTTGCTGTCTACTTTTTGTATTGTGGGGAATTTATGCCTTTTGAAATGAGGTTGTCAGCTGTGAATGGGTGTTTTGTGGGGGTACTAGTAATCTTTTCTTGATTCCTTTTAGATTTTTCACCTTTTGTGTATCTGAAAGGTTCTTTTCTTTTCTTTCTTTGAAAGTAGCTTCTATAACTACTAATTAGTATTCTATGGGGTTGATGCATGATGGTACAAGTTTTAATGCAAAGGGGACAACTTTTGATAGTCCATATTGTTGTCCTCAAAGTGTATGTATAGCCATGTGGCACATGTGGTTTGTTGGTTTAATTAGTTTTTTTTGGGTTGTTTGACAGTTGCTGAATGGTTTGGTGCAGAATGATTAAGAGGTTTTTTATGATATGTTGCGAAATGAAATATGATTGTTTGGTAATTATTTACAATGAAATTAGGGCGTTGAATGGTTAAGGGAGACACATGATACAAAATCGTTTAAAGGGTTTTAGAACCATGTTCGCCTCTTAACAATTCAAATGTTGTTTCTTAATGGAACTATTAAGAGGTAAACAAACAACTTATAATGGTAAGACTTTTCAATAAAACATCCATTCGTCCAAAGTGAGTACTTGCTAACTTTCCATTTAGTATGTCATTGAACATTTTAAGAAAAGACGAGTATCGGAGAAAAATGAGATCTTCCACGGTTTATTTATCCCTTGTTGGGCACCCGCAATTTCTCTTACGAGGAAAGCCACAAATGAGACATCGGACTCATCATCGTCGTCGATGTAGGCAATAGTGATTCATCTTTATGCAGATTGCATTGGTATCCATATTCGTATCTTCAAGTTTCTGTGTAAGATTAAAGGCTTGTTTGTTAGCAGTTTAATTAACTTAGGGGCCGTTTACCTAATGGCTTACCCGGTAAGCGCTTACCATTAAGAGTCTACACTATAATTTATTTTATTGAGGTTCGATTGTAGTACATCAAAACGTATTTGCAACAATTTACCTGGTAAGCGCTTACCCGGCTAAGACTCCTCATTCTTATCATCGCTCTTACCGGATAAGATTCTTGTCCCTTGCCATGTTCATCCGGTAAGGAAAATTGCCCAGTAAGTACTTATCGGGTAAGCGTTTAGTAAACGGCCCCTTAATGAGATTCGCAACTTATGCGGCTATATATATATATATATATATATATATATATATATATATATATATATATATATATGACTGTTTGATGGTGACTTAATGATGTAGAAAGTGATTTGTTCAATAAGCTTCTAGATGAGAGCTTTATGTAGAAAACCAAGATTTTTTTCGAACCTGCCTCTCCCAACTAAAAAACACAATTCTTTTATCTATGAAAAACTTTCCTAAACAAAAATCTTCACAATCTATACAGACAAATTAATCAACAGAAACATCTTTATTCATACTGAACTTAATGAAAAACCAACCAAACAGTCGTAAGATGATATCTTTACAAAATGCACACTAGGGGATCATGAAGACTTTTCTTTTAGACTCTTTTTGAACACATTTGTACAGACTCGATGAGTTCGATAGCATTTCGATAGTTAATCGATATAGTTTTAAAATTCAATATGCATTAGATTGACGTTTTTGGCACCAATTAAACGTTGGTAACATACGCTCATAAAAGGTTCGATCAACTTGCATCCACGACACACGACACAATAACAATACAATACAATACAAACTCTCTGGGAATGCTAACAACCAACTAGAATGGACGAACTAAAATCTTGTCCTCCCGCTCGCACAATTTAGGAAGAGTGTAGCACGGCTCGCGTGGTGCAAATTCCGTGATCAAGGCTGCGGCAGCATGTGGTTTTTCGACATGTGGGATGTGACCGCAATTTGGTATAAGCCGAATGATGCCGTTTTGGAGGTCACAATGCAATCTCTATATCATTTAAGAAAACATTAACCGGTGACGAATATTATTCGACTTTAACAACGGCAAAAGCAGCTTCAGAAAACTAACCACTGCAAGTTTGTTGTCGATGATTCGATCATTTTCTCCCCATATTATAAGCGTTTTATTCAGCACCTGGTAAGCAAAGCATAAAGCATTTGTAACCAACGACTATTCATGATGAATAACATTAACAATATTGTAGGGTTATTCATCATGAATATATGAATAATTAAAATTGCATGATACATTCATAATGAATAATGTAATAATATTCATGAATACTTTAGGGTTATTCATCATGAATAGTAAATAAAATAGTTTGGTTTCCAGATAAACTACAGACTGCAAATTCTTTGCATCATAAACTGAAGTCTAACGAACGATTTCGAATGCATTTTCAAAATCCCGATTCAGTCTTTCCCTAAGAAATATCTACGAATTCCGTTTTCAGACAAAATAACATCTCAAAATGCATATAGAAGTGCAGAATCATAACAAACCTGCTTAATAAGGGCAGACACATTGTATCCCCCACTGCTCATAAAATCAACTGTTGCATCTTCCCACCAAGGTAACAGACAATGTAATTGAGCAATCTAGAACACCAACAGAAACCGATTTTAGAAAATAACAATAACAACACTTCGGATTTACACGAAATCAAGATCCATTTTGCCTTAAAAAGTCATTCAAATCGAGAGCAAAGTCGGAACTTACGTGAGTCCAGTCTAAGCATGTGCTGAATGGCAAAGCAGTAAACGTAAGATTAGTAGCATAAAAGCGCAACGGGAGGCTTTTTAACAGCGAAACCTGGCAAAAACGATCATGTAATTAACAAAAACATTAATTCTGGCACTTCACTACTGCAAAGTCGACTTTATAGGACGCCAAAGATGTCTAAATGTGATAATAGACTGTTTTATAGGGCTTAAGTTTATACAAATGTCTTAATGTGCTAAGACTGTTTTATAAGGTTTAAGTTTATCGAACCAAATAACTGTACATCATATGTAAAAGTGTTGCAATAAGTTGATAAAGATGTTTTTGGGAGTCGTAACAAGTTCTTTATTAGCTTTTTTATAAAGACACTTTTCAAATAATGTCCTATAGAAAGACTAATAGGACGCTTTATTTCAAAAGTGTTTTAAAAAACTTGTTAAGACGCCAAGAAAGTCTTTATCAACTTATTGTTACATTTTTACATAGGACTCACGATTGTTTGGTGCTATAAACTTAAGTTCTATAAAACAGTTCATTACGACATTTAAACATAATTGGCATCCTATATACCCGATTTTGTTTTAGTGCTTCTATAACATAAAACTCGAGATGGTTTCTTTTAGATGATCAGCGATTAATACTCACTCCAGCATAAGCTATACTTTTCGGTAACTTAGAGAGGTTTCCTGTGCCTTCTGCATACACACTTGCATTTATCAAAATCAGCTTATCAACCTGCAACAACAACAGAAGAGAGAAATAAGCAAACCACATTTCAAGATTCCTTAATCCCCTCGTCACCAGTGGGGTTAGCTCAACTGACAATAAAACTTGGGCCTTTGGGGAACCTCCTCATAGGTCAATTGTTCGAGCCTGCAAGCCCACTGGGGATTTTCCTGGCTGTTCTCAAGGGATTAGTCAAGGTGCACGCAAGCTGACCCGAACACCCACGATCAACAAAAAGAAATCCCTTCATTGGAAAATTAATAAACTTTCGACTTTTGAGAGATCATCAGATATAATAACTACAGATTCCACACTTACAGCTTCTGGATGATGGATAGCAAAATCGATTGCAACCGCGGCTCCAAGACTTGGACCGACTAGCAACATAGGCCTTTTAATGTAGGACTTCCAGAACTAAAATCACAGAGAAATATGGGACTTTGTTGGAAACTAACAAAATTGATTGTTCTTTGCACTACAACAAATTCGGCTTTATCGTACGCCAGATATGTCTAAATGTTCTAATAAACTGCTTTATAAGACTTAAATTTACAAGACCAAACAATTGTGCATTTTGTGTAGAGGTGTTACAAAAGTTAATAGAACACTTTTGAAATAAAACGTCATATTAGTCTTTTTTTATATGACATTGTGTCGGATAAATAAATGTGTTCATTGACTATTTTTCAAAAGTGTACTATAAAAAAGCTAATAGGACACCCAAAAGCATCCTATGAACTTACTGTAACACCTGGACATACAATTGTTTGGTCCTAAACTTAAAGTCCTGTAAAACAGTTTAATAGAATGTTTAGACATATTTGGTGTCTTATAAAGCCCAAATGACAGAGCTAAGATACAACTAGATGGCCAATGAAAATTTACCTGGAAGAGGTGATCTCGTTTGGTTTCCACGTTACAAGGTGGAAGCGTTTCTGATAAAAGGCGAAGGCACAACAAGAAAATGAAAAAGAACATGAACACAAACACAAACACGCGGTTTTTTTAGTTACTTTCATTCAAATACGCGAAGATAGAAAACAATAAGAAGGCAACCTAAGTTGGAGAAGCCCCATCCTAGAATGTCGATTGCCCACGTCTCCAAACCGGCCTGCTCAAGCAGCGGGAGCGTGTATCTCCATTCTAAACACGAACTGAAGAATAAGAAGTAATCAAATGTGGAAATAGAGCGGAAAAAGACAGGGACTAAAATGGAACTTTTTGGTTTGAAGAAGGGCATAAATGTAAACCTTTCCATGTTGATACGTCCGATGGAAATTGCAAAATTTTCATCTTTGGCTATCTTTCAAGCTAACATCGCTTAGGGCTGTTTAGTTGGTTTTCTATTAAGTCTTATATGGATAAATCTATCTTTGTAGATAATCTGTCTATATAGATTGGAAAGTTTCATAAGAAAAAGAGTGTACTTTTAATTGGGAGGGTCATATTTGGAAGAAAAAAAAAACTTGGCTTTTTGCATAAAGCTTCCTCCCTAGAAGCTTACTGAATATTATTAAGTCATTACCAAACAGTCATTTATAGCTGACAAAATAAGCTGCAAGTCTCATTAAGCTGCTAACAAACATGCCCTTAGTTGTCCATCATCAACATTGCATCTAGTCAATGCTATTGATTTTGGTCCAACACCTTCCCTTTTTGTCAAGATTGAAGGGTATTTTAGAAGTTTCACCAATATGCATAATTTCTACAAAAATACTCTCTGACCACTTAATCATTCTGCACCAAATCATTCAACATCTAACAAAACAACCCCCAACTCTAATATTGTAAATTTGATGGGATCCAACATGCCGCGATAAGTATGAATCGGGATAAGTAGCTGCATACCTGTCAAAACCATGAAGTAGAACAAGTGGAGTGGCTGTGTCCTGTACCATTGGCTTCACACAAGTACTCATAATGCGATTCTTAGAGCCGCTAAGCTGCAATTCGATATCAAGAAAACTCCAAAATCTTTCCATCACATTTTCAAGATAAATTTGTAGAAAAACTACTGGTTTTTTAGTACCCATTTGAAAAGAATAAAACATGGATCAAGATCTTGATCCAAATTCTGTGCCTTGAGTTCCATTTTTGCCAGTAGAAACAAGCTTCCAATCAAAGCATAGCCATAGGAGGATGGTAGAAAGGACATCAAATGCATCAGAAACCATCAAAATGAAAAATCCTCAATTCCTTACCATCCAAATCCTTGAATTACCAAAAAAAATGGGAAAAGAGCAAACGTCACCAAAGATGAGGAGGGTGTGTGAATTTATTTGTTGTATTTTTTGTATGTAAATGCTTTAGGAAAAAAGAAACAAACCTAAAATTGAGTAAAGTCCACATGGGTTCAAATTATCGCCTTTCAATTAAACGGTAAAATGCCAAGAAATATCAATCATGCAAGTTAAAATCCAAACAAACCGAACTAGAATCGTTAGACCATCTTCAACTGATTCTCCAAAATTTCTCAAAGATGAGAATGAAACTTTAAAATCTCTAAAACGAAAAATACATTCATGATTCAACTCCATCAGATTCTCCGTTTTGAAGACTAGAACATTGATTATATTGTTAAAATATTACATTTATCTAATAAAATATCATTTCTGTCTCTAAATATTTATTTTCAAAGTTTGCCGTTAGAAGAAATATATCAAAAGAATATTTCTTTCGGGTTGTAATCATTTTTGTGGTGTTCTCCTACTTTCTCGATTTTGGAGAATTTCTTGGAGCAAAAAACATGTCCGAAATCTTATTTTTTTTCATTTTGAAGAATCTATTGAAGATGCTCTTAAAAACCCACAGATCTTTGCATGCATATTTCGGTCTGATAGCTCCAAAGTGGATGTGTGTATAACCTTGAGCCATGCAGTGACAAGGTCAGGCCTAAATAAAAAATGATACAAATTTTGTCATTTTGTTACAGATTTTAATGCAGGTTTTCGTGTTTCCCTGAGATTTGAAATATTCATCACTTCTAGTTTATCATTTGACCACAAAATAGTTTCGATTCAACCACAAAATAGTTTTGATTCAACCACAAGGGTTAATGCCCGAATGTTTTAAAGTTTGGCCTCCAAAGGTTAAAATGTCCGGAGGTCTCGGTTCGAATCTAAGGAGGAATAAAAAATCTCCAGCTGCCATGGAGGTCCATGAAGATTCAAATGGAGTGACTCTGTACTACCCGTAAAACTGATGGTAGCCTGGGATCAGTCTTAGAGGGTTGGATATCCAGGTTAATAAAAAAATATTAGTTTCGACTCAAAGCAATTTTCTTAAGGGAAAACAATAGATCGAGCATTTCACCTCTACTGGCAGCATTTCGATTCTCGAAACCAACTTTCGAGCAAACGGGTCTTGGATTTTCTCCATTTCTTTGAGCAGAAAAGGCGGGAAAACGTCGGCGGATGCTCCAAAAAACGGCGAAGTTCTCCGATTCGGAATGGGCAGTATTCCCATCGCCGGAAAGGCGGCGGTTATGGTGGCGATATTGAACATGATTTTGCCGGTAGCCGACGAAGTAGAAGATTAAGCGCGATATGTAGGGGGTGTGAAATAGACACCGAGTGTTTGCATATTCCCACACTCCATGGCTCCTTCAAACAAAGGTAGGGGCAGGAGATATAAAGCGACGTGGAACCAATACAGAATCTCCTTAAGAGATTCTTACTAAATAAGGTAAGGGAGAATAATCTTATCAGATAAAATCAAAGGGTTTTATCTTGTAAGTGTGGACGACGATTTTTACCATGGTTAACACTTATCGTATAAATTATTGTATATAGTACCATTTTCTTATTTAGAGCATTTCAAAAAGGTTTTCTAAGATAGAGAAAATCAACTTTTTGTTCTCTACAATGCTCCAACAGTTTTCTTATTTATTCTCTAAAATAGAGAATAATAGAGAAAAAATTAAATAAAAAGTGTTGGAGATGTTCATTCATATCCAAGAGCTTCTTAATTTTGTAGATTAAATATGAACTATATTATTAAATATATTCAACCGTTTATATATATA